ACGTAGTTGAGGCAGAAGTTCGGTCGATTGCGTCATCGGACAGATAACTGTGGTGGAGACTGGCTGCTGAGAGCACGAGAGAGAGAGAGAGAGTTGCTGGAGCCGTGAGTTTCATCCAGAACACTTGTATTTTGACGTTATTCTGACTGAAAGTATTTTTGAGAGTCCTGCTGTTTTTTCGAAGTCATCCATGAACTGTGTTTCTTTCTGCGAATCATTTAAGTGCACTTGTTAGTGTGCGAGAACGCGTATGTGAACTGAATGCTCGGTTTTGATGGAGTGAATCGTTTTTGTTAAATTTTTTTTGTTTATAATAGATTGACGATCGTCCATATTCAAGATTTGTTTTTGAGAGACATTTTTTGGGTGATTCAGATCGAGTACCGCGTGCGAGCTCAGTTGAGCTGCGCCATTTTGTTCCAGAAAGTTTTTTTTTTTTTTTTTTTTGAGTTTTTCCTGGGCCGCGTTGAAACTTTTTTTGTGTTTTTTATTTTAGTTTATTGCCCTGCCATCCTTACGACATTACTTCATCAATTCATCACAAGTCATCACATCAAAGTGTTGTTACCACAGACTGGTACAGTTCGACACACACACACACACAAACAGGCGCACACATCTCTCCATAGGCGTAATGGTTTTTATACTGTACAAACTGTATATTCTATTCCCTTACCCTGAAACATTCTGGATTTTTACATTTTCAAAAAACATTACTATATGATTTATACGCTGTTTTCCTCATGCGGACCGCTGGCTGGACCCCACAATGTAGGTGAGTTCAGGTTTTACTATACTTGTGGGGACATTTGGTCCACACGATGTAATATAAACATGAACACACACACACACACAAACACTTCACTGATATAGAGTGAACCGAACTGAGTGTTTGAATGAACTAAGGGTTTCAATTGTCAATTTGATTAGTGTTTGTGATAACTGAGTCGATTGGGAACTGAATCATAAAATTGATTCATAAGAGTCGTTTAAGTGATTTAAAGGTTATCTATGTATTTGAACTGGGTTATTTGAAGTGAGTCATTTGGATGGAATGAGTCACTTGGATTGAACTATAAGAGTCATCAACATCCAGTGTTGTTTGTAAATCATTTTATGCCTTAATACTTTAACTAATATGGAGAAACACTTGAGGTGTTAAAGGGGATTTGTTTTGAATGTTAACCGTTTGAAGGTCTTTAACCTGTTAACTGTCACCCCCCCTTTTTTGAATAGACATGAAAATGCACATTTCGAACTTAAATGGTTGTAATTCAAGAATGCTTTGGAATATAGACATATGATTGGTCTTGTTTTAAAGAAGACATTTGGCAGATTTTTGTAGAAGTGAAATAAATTAAGAAAGTGAAACAGAAAAAAAGTTATAGAAGTTTGAGTTTATGGAAATGTACAATGTAAAAATATTAATTATTCATATTTTACATAAAATATATATTTTCAAAACCTGGGCTACTCTAAAATGTCAGAAAGATCAAAGCCAAAAATCTGAACAGTTTGTGTTTCAAATTTTAGGTTGATATCTCAAAAAATGAGCTTTCAGTAAGATTTTGTTTGAGCGCAGTACCAAACTTTTACACTAGGGCACAATCAGACTCCATTATTGCCCATATAAGGGCGCCTTGCATTTCCATTCGTGTTTTGAGTGATATGAACCATTATTTTCACAATTTTCATACAATTTCTGAAGTAGAGATCCTATTCAGAAGTAGCATGGGAAGTTTGGCAGATTTTGATATGAATTGAACCTCTAAGAAACACATAGCCTACAAAGAACACGCATGCAAGTCATAGCATAGCTAGCTAGCTGTCACAAATGGTGAATTTATTATTTTTTTCTTGATATTTCAAACTTTTCAGACCTTTTTTTTCCAAAATAATTGAATGGATTCTATCTTTTGAACTTTTGGCATGAAAACAAACTGAGGTATCTACCATTTTTTCATGATTTTTCATGTTTACTGCTATTTTAAAATAAAGGTCTGAACACGCCTTATGAGTATGAAAATATTCTTGTTTTATATTGATAAATTATGGCTCCTCTGTAATATATTTTGAAAATCAGTCACCAAATATGGAAACTAGAGATTGTAAGCTTTCAAATGATATATAGTTTGTCAATATTATTTAAGGTATTTACTAAGATATTATTGTTTTAAAAATATAGTGGCAAATGTCCCACCTGTGGGACGGTGACAGTTAAGAAATCTCAAACTGTTTTTTTATTTAAATTAAAAAAAAAAACATTTTTTATTTTATTCTAGAAACAGGTCCTTCCAGCAGAAACATTATTTACTAAGGGAAGGGAAATAAATTACTAATGGTTTAAATCAGTACATTTCATAGTTTTTTTTATGAACTTACCTTGGGGTAGGGGCGTCTCATTTACACTATACTATTAGGATTAGGTGGGTGGGGACGTGAATTTAAAATGTATTTTTCACCTCATGCACTTCAGGAAGCCACCGTATCAACATACTCGCCTGAAGCCTACACTACCTATTCCTGTATTATACCCTAAAATAGTGTAAGTTAAAACATATATACACAACGTGCATATTGAGGCTCAAAGCACCAGAGCGGGGACTAAGATCCTTTCGCTCTTAAGTCTTTCAGGGTAGTTTTTTAATTTTCCTCTACAAGGCGAGACTTGCAGTCCCGTTACACATACCTGCAGAAATACACAATTAATATTTTGGATATACAATATATTAGATATATAATATTTACAATTAATATTTTGGATGCATATCTACCCCCTTCAGTCTGCTCTTACAGCAAATGAATCCATCAAACGCGACGCGTCTATCCTAAATACGTTTAGATCTTCACAGTGAAAGGTAAAATTTACGAAATCTCTGTGTAAACAATGAGTGACGTACACGCGCAAACAACCACTTCCGCCGCAAATGGAGACCGAAGCGTATCAGTTGGACGTGGCTGTGCTTACAAGAGGTAAAAACAATATAAATACTGTTCGTTTTCTCACGCAAACCACTCGTTTTGTACTTACAATGTGTACTTACATTTACGAGTCAGTAAATCATGTTTAATCTAAACTTCTTTGTGCATGTTCTTTGAGGCGGACCCCCATACCTGCATTATATGACTGACAGACAACAACGGTTTGACCGAAAAATATCAAAATTGAAAATACTGTGGAAACAAAAACACCTGCATCTTGGATGCCCTTGAGGTAAGCTAAAACATATCAAAAATTAATTTCAAAGTTAGCTATCCCTTTAAATATTCAACCATGCTAAATTTAATTCCATAAAAATACAATGCATTAAAATACAAGCAGGGTAAATGCAATGCATATTTTTTTCAAGTAGAACAATTCAACAGGCTTTTTGTTTCAAAAACAATTTGGTATTAATTTACTTCTATATCTCCATAGTTCACACAGATCACATTGATTAAAAATGCTGTATTCTGCTGCCTCTCCTTTAGATGATGCCGATGAAACACTATCGTCATCGTTTTCAGAAATTCACATTTTTGTTGTTTACACGGAGACCATTTTCAAAAACCATTTCCCTCCTGTCACGTACCAGAACTCTTTACCATTCCATTACAATTCCATGTTTACGGAGGTGTATTGCATTCACTTGAAGAAAAAAAATCTACTCTGTTTTTCTGAATTAACGAGTTAATTTTTCATGAGAAAAAAAAAAAATTGCTCTGTTTTACTGAATTAATGAGTTAATTTTTCATGAGAAAAAAAGTTTTTGCTCTGTTTTTCTGAATTAACGAGTTAATTTTTCATGGAATTTTTTTTGCTCTGTTTTTCTGAATTAACTCGTTAATTCAGAAAAACAGCAAAAACTTTTTTTTTCTCACGAAAAATTAACTCATTAATTCAGAAAAACAGCAAAAAAAAATTCTCATGAAAAATTAACTCATTAATTCAGAAAAACAGAGTGAAGACTTTTTTTTCTCATGAAAAATTAACTCATTAATTCAGAAAAACAGAATTTTCTTTCTCATGAAAAATCAACTCATTAATTCAGAAAAACAGCAAAAAAAAATTCTCATGAAAAATTAACTCGTTAATTCAGAAAAACTGAATTTTTTTTCTTCAAGTGAATGCAATACGCCTCCGTACATGTTCGAATAGATTGTGTGTGCTCTTTTACTGTCATATACACGCATCTTAAAGATGAAATTTCTTCCACAGTGGGTTAAATGGGTTAAACTCTTTTTTTTAAATCACTTGGCTTAAAAAGCTGTTTAATACAGCCAAAGACACTTTGAGAGATTATTTGGTTGCATTATAACGATATAAAAAATTAGGTTGCATTATAGAGAGATTATTGAGAGAGGTTTATTAGAGATTATTTGCTCCAAGTGAGAATGTTAGTGTGAATTTGAACACAGTATATGCCAATGTTGTTTTCACTAAAAAAACAAGCCGATTCACTTTTCCATGTTGATAAGAGCATTAAAATGAGAAAAATAATGTGACAAAGATATTAAGAGACATTTAGAATAGATAAAAATATGCGATTAATTGTGATTAAATATTTGAATCATTTGTTACCACTATATCAATAGAATCTGTATCTGTATAAATCTATATGTGTACCAAATGATTAATTGATTAACCATTAAGATCAGTTGGATTAAATAATAGATGCATGAATTAAACTGAACGAGAAGAGATGCTAATCAAAAGTGTGATAGTAATGGCATTATGAAAGGCAGTTACTGTGAATGAAACATTTATATAAATGAAACAATTAGGATCAAGGGTCATTTGTGATTTTGAGTATGTACTAAAACCATTTAAAACATATTGAAAAGTGTCCTTTTGATGATCTGCTGTGAGATTAGTACTAAGAGTTTTGAAAATGTACACCTTAAAAATAACTAAATTATAACCTGAATAATAGCCTTTAAATGTGTTTTTTTTTTTTTTTTTGGATAATGAAAAAAGAAAACAGTTGTCACAATATCACAAAGAAAACAATATCTCGATAGTAGATGTAATGGAGAACTTTATTTATTTTTATTCTGTATTATGAGAGCTTTCCAGGGGAAAAGAGCATTTGAAGCGCTGTCAGAGTTGTTCACAATCTCAAAAAATTTCCTTTACAGCATTCATGAGTATACTTTATAATCATCGCAAAATCAATATAGAAGATACGATATGCAAGATCTTATTTTAACTGTAAGGTAAAAAATAAGTCAAATGATTATCTAAAATAGACTAAAAACCATAGATTATCTGAGCAATAAAGAATATGAATAAATCAATCAAAAGAGGAGTAAATGAATACCACAGTATGGATAGTTTATATGATTAAAGAAAAGAATAAAAAAAGAAAGACAATAATAAATGGATTATAGCACAAGGTTAGCTCTTTAAAGCATATTGCCAAATAAACTGTTCTGCTTTCCTGGCGTGAACCAGACAATCACCCCTCAGATAACATGCATATAAGTGCACAGATGGCATTTCAAAGTAATATCCCTTATTTCCCATTAACAGAGTCAAATACAAAAAGAGTTAATGAAACAGAATTTCTGTAAATTGCCTCAAAATGCAGAATGCTTTTGTTTTACAATTCTTAAGTAGAGCTGTTCTTCTCTCTTATATCAAGCACATCATTGGCCGTAAACACTATGTAGGCCTGGCACAATATTTTCTCAAATTGCAACACTGTTGGGGATTCTGTCTGGGGACAAATAACAATATTCCAATCTTAATCCCTGATTCCGTCTCTTGATTTCTTTGGCCACCTCACCTAGTTTCTTGCGGAAAGTCTTTATGGCCTCCTTCACTGGTTTTTCGGTGAAGCCCATATCTGGATAATCACCTAAGTACCGCTGGGGAGAAAAATTTAAGCTCATCAGAAAGCAGAACAACAATCTTTCTTTCTTTTTACAAGGTAAACTGACCCTTCTCTAAGCCCCGCCCCCTTGGTTACTGTCAATCACTCAGACAAGCTTATAAAAATAACAGAATTGTGGATTCTTCTGGGATTATTCTTGGAATGAGTCTGACATCGCAAAGCATTTTTTAATTTGCTGTGTTTCTTTAAAGAACTTGTAAAATTATCCGGTAACATGATTAAGAACTGCAGATCAGAATTAGTGTAAATGTCGTTTACATTCAGCTGAACATAGAGATGTCAATTACACCACTGTAAAATATTATATGATCAATAAGTTAGGTTTTTCCATTAATTTAACCAATTGTACAAGATTCAACACATTTTGTTAAGTCAAGATGTAAAATAATGAGTTGATATGACTTATCCAGCCAATTAATACGTTTTTAAGTTGTAGGTGGAAATGTGTTACAGAGAGCTGATAACATTAGTGTGAGTGAACAAAACTCATGATCACAAAACTGGGAACTGTTTTCTTACTATCCCGTCTGTGACCTTAATCAAAACTCAATAAATTAATTGTCAGTGTTATATGTGCTCCAGAAACAAGATTATCTCTTCTATTAATTTTAGATCATTTACTTTAAATATATCCAAACACACAGGACGTCCATTTAATGTCAAAGAGCAAAAGCTTGCCTGTTAGTATTGGAAGAAATGTCTTGCACTACAGAATACACAGAATACATTGCTTAAAATGTAATTTTTAACATACGAATTACTTACGAACACTGTTTTGAATTTTAAACTGTTAGATTTTAATATCTAACTCCATTAAGTGAATCGATAAATATTCTGTTACCCCCAAACACGATGACTTTTTAAATTGGGACTTAGCGAAGGGTCAGTTAAATGAATTGCACTACCTGACTAAAAAAAATATACTTGTATGTTGGTAGTGCTGCATATCAGATACACTGTAGCATGCAAACAATCTACAACAATAAGAAGAATTCAAAATGTATTAAAAAAATCATCTTTGGCCTCTTTTTAACTCATACTTTGTTGCTCTGTACCCTCAGCAAGTAACTGGTTTATTCCTTTTCACACTGATTTAGATAAGACTGCTATGGAGCCATTAATGTGTCGTTATTACATGTTAGAAAATAAATGATCTGAGAGAAAAAAAAAGTTTGAGAAAGTTATCACACTGATGGCAAAAAAGCATTTCATGAGAAAAAATAATATTTGTGAGAAAGTTTTCATATCAATAGCGAAAAATAATATTTGAGACTAAAAAAAGTTTTGAGAGAAAGTATTTTCTCATAGAACATAAAAAAATACATTTGAATTTTTTTTTTATTATTTCTGAGAGAAAAAAATCTCTCAAGTAGTTTGAAAAAAAAATTCAAAATATATATTTTTTGCTATCAGTGTGAAAACATTTTCTCTAAAAAAAGTGTTTCTCTCAAACTGCTTTTCTTTGCTCTCAATGCAATTTTTCGCTCTTGTGTCAGGATTTTGCTTTTGCTGTGAAAATTGTGTCATGAGTGGGGCCACGTTTTTTTTTTCCTATTGGAACGTTCCCATTGGCCAATAGGAACAGATGAATAAAAATGTATTCGTTTTTTAATGTTTTATTAATAGATATTTCTAGTTTGCGGGAGTCTCACAAATCGTTTTATTCTCAAACACAGAGCGCGTGCATTACAGCCCGCACTCGGCCATCAGATCTAGTCTCACTCTTGCGTTGGGAGTCCACGTGCGTTGGGAGTCCACGTCTGTAGATCAAAGGCCCGGCCCGAGGATAATGATGGGAAATATAGACCCGTCCTCGGGCTCGGACAGCGAATCTAAAGGCAGAGGAGGCATCTATCTAGGCATCCATCTACCGAACAATGGTGTAATGATTCAGTTCGACTCCCAAGACAAGACGATGCTCACCCGACTGGCCAATAGGAACGTTCCATTAGGAAAACAAGAACGTGGCCCCGCCCATGACACAATTTTCACAGCGAAAGCAAAATCCTGACGCGAGAGCAAAAAATTGCATTGTGAGCAAAGAAAAGCAGTTTGAGAGACACTTTTTTTTTTAGAGAAAATGTTTTCACACTGATATTAAAAATATATATTTTAGAATTTTTTTTGTGAAATTTTCAAATGTATTTTTTTATGTTCTATGAGAAAATACTTTTTCTCAACTCAACTTTTTTTAGTCTCAAATATTATTTCTCTTATGAAATGCTTATTTGCTATCAGTGTAAACTTTTTCACTCAAACTTTTTTTTTCTCTCAGATCATTAATTTTCTCACGTGTAATAAAGACACATTAATAGCTCCACAGACTGCTGTCATGTTCTCGATTCAAATCAGACAACAAACCTCTTCCTCCTGGAAGCGACTGAGGGCCCAAACGGTTCCTATAGCCTTGCTGGAACATCCACGATCAGGCAGACTCTCCATGATAAACTTCATATCCACTGTGCCCTTCTGTTTGGGAGGCGGTTTGCGCATGGTGGAAGGACTGTTGGGGATCCAGCCATACCAGTCAAACTGAAACAGAAAAGTTTAATCACAGTTTTTATCTTAAAGATCGAATCCATAATGTTGCCTAGCAATTTTTTACTCTCCTGCAGATGATATGAAAGTGTGTAATCTCACCTGTCCAAAGTTGACCGCAGCATGTTGTGCTGAAGCTGTGAATATCACAACGGTCAGGTACTTGACTAACTCCTCTCGAGTGTTCAGAGTGACTGGAAACAGTGGCAGTATGCATTTAACTTGTGCACACATTTAAGCGTGACTTGATGCATATAGAATATACAAGAATACAAACAATCACGCATGCTTCCACAAACAAACACTGACATTTTGGCCCTGTTTACACCTGGTATTAACATGCGTTTTGGTTGATTGGATTACAAGAAGTTACGTTCACGTTTGGTTGATTGGATCACGTTTACACCTGGGGCCTCATTTATAACCTTTGCGTATGCACAAAACAGGTCGTGAAAGAGGCGTACGCCACTTGCGACGCATAAGTTGTGACTTATAAAAATAAACTTGTCAGGAAAATTTGCGCACCTGCACATCTGGTCAACTTGGCAGTTTCTTGGAGGGGTGGGGCTCATAGCACTTGCATATTGTTGTCCTACTGTTAGTTTTACTGCTTATATTGTTCTCATTTGTAAGTCGCTTTGGATAAAAGCATCTGCTAAATGAATAAATGTAAATGAATAGATTTAAAAATAGGCAGTGTTTTAGTGACAGTTCTTAGTTTTTAGTGACTTGACGAATGTATTCGATAACATGAGCGTCTACACTATGAAAGCAATCCAATTGAATCAACCTCCGAAAGTGGTCGAAAGAGGATAAGCTCAAAACAATTAGACCCCGTTTAAACCTGTGTTTACCGTCATCCTCTTGAGATGCGACTGACCAGGTGTAAACATGGCCTTTGAGAAGTTAAACCTGTTCTCACTGTGAGGTCTTTGCATGCCAATGTGGCAATCCTTCACAAATCCTTGAATCTCCTCATCTCCTTGAACTTTCTCATCGCTGTCATAGTAGATTTCAACCACAGCAAACACAAAACTACAGAAAGATCGAAAAGAAGAAACAAATAAAAATAAATTTTTATTGGGGTGTATGTGGACTTATTTGCACTTGTGCACTAGTAGTAAGGATCTGAACTGTTGCGACACCTACTTTAGTATTGCCTCCCAGATCTTCATGCCATCATCTCTATAATGGTACTTGGGCACATCTTTCATTCCTCGAGCTTCTATGGCCTCAGGGAAGCACAGGGACTCGTAGGTTAAAGTCTTCATGGCACTGACAATCACTCTATCTATCCCAGCTCTATTGAGGCTAGTAATCTGTGGATACCAAGAATTCAGTTCATATTTTGCCTAAATATTTTCCGCACTTATTTAGGCTACTCTTCGACTTTTTGAAATGTAGGAACTATAAGGTCTGTCGGTTTAAGCAAACACCAGTTAACTAAATACAAGGTAGCCAATGAAATAGAATTAAGAGCGTTCAGCAAAAGGACAGAATATCACAAGCCAGAAAGTCAGGTAATGGCTCAGGCCATTATGAAGGTTTGCTAACACTGTGTGCGTCTTTAGGACATAAATTATGGTTTGTCAGGCAAAGACTAAATATTCAAATATGAATAGAATCGCTTTGAAACCTAGAAATATGCTGTTTATGTGTGGAAATATTAAATTAGGTGTAAAGCTACCTGGGTGATGACCCCGCCTTCACTGATGAGTCTTTCACGAGCCACTGCATTGATTGCAGTTGTGAAACGAACATGAGGTTTCAGTAACTGTAAGAAGCATTTAAACATGTGCATCATAAAAACGGATTCAATAGCATAACCTGAAACAGCAAAAGTGGTTTCCATGTCATTCCCTGGAGGTTTTTGGAAAACATAAATAAACCATGGATGAAAAGAAGTTAAGGATAACCCTTCATCAATAAATTGACATGTGAACCTACAATCTTCAGTTTAGCCCCGAATCTAAATGTCATGACTGTGTAATGAGAGACGTGTACCTTGTATACAGGGTGGACTGGAGGGAGCTGTCTGTGCATGGCAATTTCAAAAACCTCTGACATCAGATGTGTCTTGAGAAGGTGTGTGACCAACTGGTGTACAAGGAAGTCGGCAGATTTCACCCACATCTTGGCAAGCATCCAATCATGTTCATTATCACTCGGGAGAAAGATCGGGCTCTCTTCCCCTGCGGTTTGACTGAGCTGATTTAGATATAATAAAGCCAAGCAGGACATTTTTACTTCGGTTAGTAAATTCACAGCAAAAGCACTTTTATTTTAATGTATGTTTTCATTTGATACGGGACAGATACCTGAATGGCAATTGGCACCATTTGGTCCAGTCTGTTCTTGTACAGCAGGCAGAGGGGTGCAGTCAAATAGTGATTGGGTTTGAGTGTTTCCACTGCCTCCAGGATTTCATAATCCACTATGTAGATGTTTCCCGCCTGTAAACACATGGTGTACACGGGTGCAAAGTTTAGAACTAATAGTTCATGGGTTGAGTCATTTATGTAAACTAAATTATGTGAAGGATGTCGGATAACTGACCGACAGTTCAAGTGATGTTTCTGACCTTTAATTCCTCTTGTAGAGTGACCCCTTTCTCCAGAGAGTCCTTCACCATCTCATGTGTGACTGGAAATTTGTCTGGGATTTCCATGCACTTCTTGATCATGACAGGATTGCAGCCGTTCAGAAACTGATAGCCGAACATGTAATCCTCACTCCAGTCTCGCATCACTCTCTCTGTCCAGATTTTCAAAAGGGAAATTTAGTTTTTACAGGTATGAAAATGCCTCTGCTTTGTTGGTTTCTTTTTTGAGGATATATAGTATTTGTTTAAATAAAGAAACATACCTAGAGTGTCCTTGTCAGTATAATCTGCCAATACATCTTTAAAATCAGCAACGTCTTTCCAGGACTTAAAAAAACGTCTAGCCATGTCAAGACCATATTCCAGGCCCCTGAAACAGAGTGCATACTGTATAATTATAGACATTAATGCTATTAGCATAAATTTCATTCTGAACTGAGGAAAATCTCAGTAACAAATCAATAAGGACTGTGGATATAAACTTACGCTTTAACGAAATTGATTCGAAACTCCGACTGTTTTGCTGGATCGAACTCAATTTTTCGAGGAACTTTACCCATGTTCTTAGGGTAGCCTTCGGTAGCGTTTTTCTCGTCCCAGCTTCAACAAGAAAAATGACAACATTTACTGGAACAGTTACACTGTCATGTACACTTATGTGAAGTTAGTTTCACTTTCATGGACATTTAGTTTGTTTATCCTCAGTTTCCTTTTTCCTCTGTCTTAGTTTACAAAAGACTCTCATCACACCAGTTAGGCCTTTGGTTGGTTATCTTGCTGCTTTTATATGCTCTCTTGTTTTCAGTTCCCTTATTGTCCGCTATTGTTTGTGCACAGCACACTGTTCATGTTACATTGTTTTCAGCATGACCGGATTCTGAGTTAGTTACCCTTTTTGGCATTTCTTCTTCTGGACTAACGTTACAGATAAAGATTTTTCTTAAAGTCCATTTTAATGTGTAGAAACAACTACAAGTAGCCTACACTCTTAGAAGAAATGGTTCTATTTAGAACCAGAAATGGTTCCATCCCCCGCTTCATATATGGAACTCCAAAATGGTTCTATATAGAACCAATTTTTTTGGTAAAAGGTTCTATTGGCCAAGTACGGAACCCCAGGGTTCTATACAGTACCCAGAGGAACCCTTTTTTTAAGAACCTTTTAGGGGTTCCAAATACGTAGCGCTGATAGAACCCTTTCTTCTATGAGTGTAAGACTTTTGTCAGTCGCCTTATGATTTTCTTTTACAAAAATAAAAGAAATTGCCATCAATCCCTATTTTATATTTTATCAATGGCCTATTTTCGGGAATACTCTAAATATTGTCAGCATTGCCAGAAACCAATTTTCTTGCTTTTCCAGAGTGATTACATGGCATTTACAGCTCAGTTTAACTGGTTATAAAGGGGGAAAACTTTCCAAAACCGAGCAAACATCCAAGTCAGCGTCCAGTTTAAGTACTACTTCCATTGAGATGAATAGAAATCCTCCCAATGCACCAACGTTGAGCAGAGGGGAAGGCTGTCCAAACAATTTCATATTGCCTTTGGCATCACCTGAATCACTGGTCAAATTGCAAAGACTGAACACGAAAACTGAAAAATTTCTACAAACGCATTGACTAGTTTGGGCTGTTTCTGCCACGGGCAGGTTTGTCTTCACCTGCTTTCGTGAGTGACGAAAGCAGGTGAAGACAAAACATAATGAGTCCAAACCTGAGTGTGACACACACACACACACTTCTGCTAAGGTCCTATGTAAATGACAGCATACTCTATATATGACACTATATTTAAAATGCACACTGAACTGTATTTATGAAGGAATAAAGAAAAAACGCCAACACATGCATATTGTTCAAGAATGTAATTGTTTTCAAACCTGAATTCTCTGTTTATATTCCAGTTGTTCTCTTCTTTTCTTTTTAAGAAATTCGCTGTCATCCTGAGCCAATCGAGCTTAACGAATGCACATAGAAACATACAGCACACATTTTACACATAGAAAAGACAGCATTTAAGATCATGATTCAATAACAACTGAACAACAACAACATTTTTTAAATAATAATGCTTCATTTAAAATGACTGTAGCTTACCAGTGCCTTCTCGGAAAATCCTTGGCTTTTCGTCTTCTATCCAGGAATAACAGGGGAACTTAAGGCATTCTCCAGAGGGTGTTTTCACTATGATATGCTTGCAAAACCAGTGATAATTGACATAGCACTCCTTTTCAAGTTTCACCAGGACAATGTCTCCAAGGTCCTTCTTCACACCGACGTCGAAGGAGAACTCCTTTAATGACAGCTTTTATTAGACACATTATATATATGGAATAGTGAAGACTTAATAAAAAGAATACCAAAACTTTGATAAATCCATTTATTAAACCCAATATCGACACATATAAAACAGATGGTATACCCAATATTGAGTTGACACAATACCTTATAAACCAAAAAGCCAAGCGCACCTATTAAATATTTGAAACTCTTTCAATAAATACCATTTCAAAAAATATCATTCATCCTCTGACAATGTAATGTTTGTTATTTATTAGGGGCCAAGCACAGCTTGCGGGAAACTTACGAAATATGGCAGACATATAAAGGACAGTGTCAATATTAACCAGAACCATATGATCTCAAACCCTCTAGCGCCACCTACTGTGCACACTGATAAGAGTGACGGTAAGACGAATATGTAAATGGGCTGCGCGCTTTGAAATGCAAATGAAATTCCTTGCGATAGATCAACGTTCTAATGAATAAAAACATATACTGTACATATATATATATATATATATATATATATATATATATATATGTGTTTGAATGATACAAATAATAAATATGTTGACAAATAATAAGTTGATAATAAACGATAGCCTATTTGCCTATATCCATTGCTTGAAAATAGATTATCAGAGAGAGCTCAGTCTCTCAAAAAATGCAGACTTTTTCCTTCTAAATAATTTGTATAAACGAATTATCTCAGATGTTGTTTCGAGAGTTTTAGACAATGGTGTGAAAAGCAACTATGATGAATAAACATTTACTTGACTGAGGCGTGATTAGTAATTAGATTTAACGCCATTTTTATTGTAGAAAATGTCTATCTTAGCTATATTAGAATGAGTGATTATGTAAAATAACGCGTCAACAACATTAAAAAGCATATAAAACAAAACGGCCTGATGTTACAGAATGAAATGTCGACCCAGGGCGAGCTTTCCTAAGCAGATGTAGCCTTTAACACGTGATTTTCTTAATTTGTGCTCAAAATATTGCTTTTTTTGAATGAAACTTGTAAAATAAAATAAAAATGATAAAAAAAACTTTTAAAACCATTAAAAAATGTAATGTTTCCAAACTTTTGACCAATAATGTATTCTATATAGGCTAATGGAAATAAAAAATAACGATAACTAATACAACTATATAACTAACTATATATTATAATCTATAACTATATAAAAATAATCAAGTCTTTTACTTACCCTTTCAGACGCCAAAGAAACATCTAAATAGGATTTGTTGACCAGGACTCTTTCACTGCTCTGATTCTTTGAGTCTATCAGCGTCAGGTAAATGCTGTTCATTTTCTCAGCAATTATCTGTCTGGGAGTATAAACTGTCACCTTGTAGGTCACCATCTTGCCTGTATGAAAGATGTAAAATCTCTGTATCCTCAGTTTATTCTTGAGCACCTTTATATGAAGTTCACTTCCGGCGCTACTCTCCCCCTCCTGTGACATTATAATGTGGGTTTGGTCTTCCGATCAAAAATGTCATGTTCATACCTGCATATGTGACACATGAATAGCCTAGGGGTGTCCTGTGGTACAGACAATCCCCTTTCAATAATACACAATCAATATTGCCATTCCTACCCTTCTTAATAATATCATTAATATAAAAGTGAGTGAAGTGTAATGTTCGAGTTAATTGCACATTAATTCTAATTTAAATTTGGATATACTACGTTCAGAATGCCCTCCTGCCATGTGGGTCAAAACAAAGGGTAAACCTCATTTTTGGTAAAAAAAACCAAGGTCGTATGGTAGCCTAATTTATATTGTCAACTGAATCCACGTGACTCAATTGCCAGAAGAGATCCATTACATGACCACTGCCGAGCCCCATAGGGTATGCCAAAGGCGGTGTGTCCACCAAAGCGTTTTTCCACGCGCCTGGCGTATGTTTTCAATGGGAGCGCAACGTTTTTAAACGCCATGAGCGTGACGAGGAGCTGAGCTGAAGCGCCGAGTGCCCGGCGTTTTTTATTTGTCGTCGAGTGTTGAAATGTTCAACTTTGGATAAAACTCAGCGCTCATCACGGTCACTTTTTACCCACCCGTCCAATCACAGAGGAGGAGGGGCGGGACTAAACCACACTGACCAACTGTCACAACATTCAAACTGCTGCGGATATTCTGTATCATAGCAACGAAACGTCTCAACGGAAAAAACGCGCTGCCAAGCGCCCGAAGTACGGCGTCTTCAGCAGAGCGTCTGGCGTTTTCAGCTGGCAAAAAACGCTTTGGGGGACACACGGCCGAACTGTTGCGCTTTAAAGACGTAGTTCGGTTGTGTCCTACCAGAATGCTTCGGGTCACCAAAGTGGCTGTTACAGTAACATCAGAGGCCAGTCTCAAGAGGCTGGAACCCTTAGTAGATTTTCTGACATAGTGGAAGAATCTGCCGAATATATCTCCAGGGGTCCTGCAGATAATCGAGAACAGAATTCAGTTTGGTTCTCCTCTATCTCGTTACAACGGTGCAGTCAAGATGCTGAACCTCAAACACATCATGACTCTAATCAGATCCGAGGATTGGTTTTTCACGATAGATCTGGAACAGTGGTTCCCAAGACCCCCTTTGTTCCCAAGAACATATTTTAGGGCCCCCGTTCACATTTAATGGTATTATCGCTCTTGTAAGCTTGCAGCAAGAATGACAAAAACATTTGTTTTCAAACTAATTGTAACAAATTATTCTTTTGTAGAAAGCGCCTCCATGTGCAGAAATCAGTGCGTTGAAATCTGAAGTGCAGTTAGTGTCAATGTCTCTAGTAATTCGTCTAGTTAATTTAGTGTTAACATATATTTTTAAATATCGTGTGCTATGACAAAAAAAAAAAAAAAAGAGTATCCTGGGCAGTGTTGGGTAAGTTACTCTAAAAAAGTAATTAATTACTAGTTACTATTACCTCTTCAACAGTGAAATTAGATTACTGTACTAATTACTCTCTCTAAAAAGTGTTTAATTACTTTTAAATACTAATTTCTTTCAAAATCCCATATCAGTCTCAACCAGCTGAATAATACAAGGATCGACTTGAATCTGTTTTAATTCTTTCAAATAAATACTATAAAATTGCATGAATTATCCTTAAACAGACCAAAGTGGAGAAGGTTACATTAAAAAAACATACTTTTTAGCATCAGACAGTACATTTTGATGTTAAACCCTCTATTGTTATGTCTGATCTCATGACATTTCACACTTTTTTCATACATATTTTACAATAATTCATACGAATTTGTACGAGTGCGGTCGTAATATTTAGACACCTCATAAAATGCATATGAATCGCTGTGAGATCGGATTGATCTATACACAGTATTTACCTCAATTACATCAGAAGTAACTGTAATTAAATTACAGATAAATGAAGAGTAATCCCTTACTTTACATTTTCAAGGGAAAAGTAATTAAATTACAGTAACTAATTACTTAGTAATTAGTTACACCCAACACTGATCCTGGGAGACCCAGCCAAGAGTAATAACAGTCAACATAAAATTGAGAATTGTGTCATCATTTACACAACACTTCGAAACCAGTATGACTGCTTTTCTTCTGTGGAACACTAAATAATTGTGTCCCTTGACTTCCATTGTATTTACAAAAAACGTTTAGTATGTTTTTTTTAATTAGTTTCCAAGGAAGAATGAGTCATAGCCCCGGTGAAAAACACGTTAATACACTAAATTTTTCACCTGGGACAACATTGGATCGAGAGAATTTGTATTTTTGAACAAACCTTTAAAAATGGACCCCAAAAAGGGGTCATAAAAATATCATATTTGTCTATCGTATTAAGTTTAGAGGCTTGTTTAACATTTTAGAGAATCTGAGATAAATAACTACTACTAGTTATAAATATTATATTAATAAGCATCAGCAGAAATTAGTTAAAGGGATAGTTCACTTTAAAATCAATTTTTGATATGTTTTATACCTCAAGGGCATCAAAGATGTACGTGTCTTTGTTTCCACAGCATTTTCAATTTTGACATTTTTTGGTCAAACCATTGTTGTCTGCCAGTCATATAATGCAGGTATAGGGAGTCCACCTCAAAGAGCAGCACAGAGAAGTCCAAATTAAACATGATTTAATGACTCGTAAATGTAAGTACACGCTGATGGCCTAAGTCACGAAACGAGCGGTTTGTGTGAGAATATTTATATCGTTTTTACCTCGTGCAATCAGTTGCATCCAAGCGATCTGAATCAGTTGTCCAATGTGTACTTACATTTACGAGTCATTAAATCATGTTTAATTTTGACTTCTCTGTGCATGTTCTTGTAGAAAATCCCCATAGACTTCCATTATATGACTGACAGACAACAACGGTTTGACCGAAAAATTTAAATCTCAAAAAATGAAACAAAGACACCTACATCTTGGATGCCCTTGAGGTAAGCTAAAACATATCAAAAATTAATTTCAAAGTGAACTATCCCTTTAATGCTGGAGGTAAACATAAAAGCTGCTTGGTTTATATTTTGTAATGTTCATTTAATACATATTTTAAAATTGTATTGCTTTTCGTTTACTCATTTTGTTCTTAACAGCTCTGAAACAACTCATAATGTAATAAAGCATAACATAAAACTGCACATATTGTAATTACACTATTAATGTAATTATAAAATATGCTCATTGTATAAGAAATGCATTGTTGCACGTTGCAAGAATTAAGCACAGTTTAAAGCAATTTGTTGATCTGGGCTTTATTTTAAGTCGAGTTGTTTTGCACCACTTAATTTTAAACACATATTAACCAGGTAAATCTCTATTGAGATTTAAACATGAGTTTAAAGTTCTGGAGCAACAGGATTAAAGTTTATCTATTTTAAATACAAATTAAATCCAAGATCAAATATTTGTATCCTGCTTATTTTAAACAAGGTTTTCTTGGACACGTTTTTTCATTCATTCATTCAATAATTAAAAAAAGTATTATTATTATTATTTGTTGCATTTTCATATGTTGCAAGTATAATTGACACGCAGTGGTTGTACGTTTGCACTAAACTGAAAACATTTCAGTTATATTTCTCAATAATTCTACCTTACAAGGTCTTACAAGGTGTTGGGCAATCATGCAATGCCATATATTTTGTAATCGAAAGGCATAAACTGTCAAAACATTTTTGTGTCCTTTCCCATGAAGATCTAACGCTCTTTGACACGGTATTGCCCTCATGCAACAAACTTCTTGGACCTCACATGACCATATGCTGCATTCACGCTCTCCTGGGAAGTTTGTTTTTTACAAGTTCCAGACTGATCTCATGAAGTAGCGTGTGTATGACACGCCAATTCGTATTTCCATTTTTGGCGTGCTATCAAGACGCATAATCGCTTTTCAGCGTGTTGATGAACGCCGTTGACTTAACGTTATATAAATATATGACTTACCTCAACCCCGTCCCTCAACCTAACCATCACTGGGGTTAATGGCATTTATGAGTGTTCCCTTACCATCCTAGGAAAAAAAAAACAGATCGCTCTCCAGATGTAGATCAACATTTTGCTTCTTTTCGCGCGGACATTTGACGGCGTGTACAGACACGCGGATTCACTCGGACGTTAATGGCGTAGACATACACGCATACACGCGGATAGCTCAAAATGCGTCGAGATAACACGCCACTTGACTCGAAAGTGGCGTGTATGTTTACGCAAAAGTCATGATGTCATGTTGCAAGTTCAGAAAATTAAAAGAATGCACATTGTGTGCTGCCCCAGAGAATGATGGGAAATGTAGTTTGGTCACTCATGCCCATCAGCTCATAAACTGGCTAGTAGTGAAACTTTATCTGTCTTCTTCACATAATGCTTACAAACTACATTGTCCTGTCACATCATTGAGAAATAAATTTATCATTTGGCCGTAAGGTATTTTTTAGCAATTACAGGAGTTAGTTGATTTTGTCGCCGTCTGAATTCAGAATTTCGCGTGAATGTCGTTCAGTCACGATGCGAGCTGTCCTGTCGCCCGCTCGTGTAGCTGCTATCCTCAGCCATGAAAGAGCTAGAGCTAGGCCAGTCCCACATTGTGAAACAGTTTGAGAAACAGTTTTTAGGCCTCATAGCAACGGCGTTCAATGTGATAGCCTTTGGCCTCCTCTACATGAAGCCTTTGCAGTGGTGACTCAGGACCAGAGGGAAAACCCACTTCGTACGATCAAGATCACACAGCTGTGTCTCCACGCCTTTATTATATGGAGGAAAACTTGGTCCCTATCCCAGGTTCTGGTGTTGGGAGTTCTTTACCATCGAGTTGCCATCTCGAGAGATGCATCCCTCACCGGCTGGGAGCGGTTATGAAAGGCTGCTCAGCTCAGGGTCTGTGGAGGAATTATCATCTTTCTTGGCA